CTCACTCATCAGTAAAACTCACAGGTGTGAAACCCTGGATACATCACTCCTGGATCAAGGCAGCCCCAAAATCACAGGAAAGTAACCCACCTGTATCGAAAAATAAATGGGCAGCAAAACCCCTTAAAGAACTAAAATATATCTTCAAAAAAAAAACAAAAAAAACTTTGATCTCTTCTACCTAACTCTTCTTCTCACAGTTCTATTTATTGGGGTCAAAAGAAAAGTAATTCTTTTCCACGCTATGGTCCCCCTACGATGTCCTGATTCAGCAGGAAGTAGCTAGAGGGATTACGATGCCCTGTCTCCCCCTTGACCATAAGATTATGGGTTGCTACTGATAGGGGGAAAAACTGTAAGTGAGCATAAGTGAGGCCATCTTGTTACACCAAATGGCCCCAGGCCTTCCTCTGTGTGACTACTCGATGTTCTGCACGTACTCTAAAAAATTTACACGCTCTCCTGATTTATGGTCCCCGCTTACGTATGTACTCCCTGAGAGCTTGATAAATTAAAAACTTTATAAATTTCTCTCCAGAAACAGGCTGACCACAGGCAGAAAACACACCTACAAGGTATCCATCACAGCTGACAGAAGAATGGAACAATGTGAGACCTGGAGCCCATCATGCCTGGAGACCAACATCCCTGGACCACCTCCCCCCCATTTACTGCCCCTTTTCCCTATATAACTGCCTCAAGATTCTGTAATCTTGGAAGATGGTTTCTTGAGACATTAGTCTACCCTCTTTCTGGTTATGCTGGCTAATCAAATTAAAACTTCGTTTCTCGATCCCTAACTCATTATGATTAATTGGCTCTGATCGTCTCGAGCAGAGCGAGCCCATTGCTTGGTAACGGGCGGCGGGGGGCGGGGGGGGGACGGACGGCGGTAGAGACATTTAACCTGACAGAAAGTGAACAGGGTCTAAAAGTCTTTGAACTCAAGAATGAAACTGGAGTTATGCTTTGGGACAAGTAACCTAGTATCGAGGTGCAGAGTGACACATAGAAGAGAGGCACAAGAGGCTGGGAAGCTAATACAGCATTCAGGAAAGAGGAAGGAAATGGAGAAAAGAAGGAAAGAAACTACTATTTATTGAGCACCTGTTATGTGTCAGACATATTTTTAAGTGTTTTCACATATTTGAACTGGGAAGTGGCAGGGGCATGAAAAGGAAGAAAAACATTAAAAAGCTATTACAAAGAACCAACAAGACTTCACAGCTGATTTTGCGTATATGTACGTGTATCTGGGTACCTTCACTTGCACTTGAGTAGGCAGGGTTGGGAAAGAGAAAGGTCCAGAAAGGTCTAAGGTTTCAAGTATGGGTAACCAGTAAGGTAACAGTAGTATTATGAGAAAAAAGGATTCCAAAAAGGAAAAAATGAGGAGGGAAGATGATGAGTTATGTTTGTTAAATGAGGCATCTAGGCAAAGCTGCTCAGCAGGCAGGAGGAAATTGCAGGGCTAGAGGTGAAAAGATCAGTCATGCCAGGACATGTGCGGATAGAGATTATCTTCAGAGAAATGGTACCTGAAGCAAAGAGATGTGCTTTGGTTACTAATGGAGAGACTGCAGACAAAGAAGAGGACAAACTCTTATGGATTCCTATACTTGGGGAGGATCTAGAGCTGTGCTGTCCAATATGGTAGCCATTAGCCACATGAAGCTATTTAAATTAAAATGAAAAATTTAGTCAAAGTAGCTATATTTCAAGTGCTCAATAGCCGCCTCTGGCTAGTGGCTACCATATTGAATATCATAGATATAAAACATTTCCAACATTATAGAAAGGTCTATTGGACAGCATTTATCTAGAGATTGGTCAGAGAGTAAAAGAACCAGGGGAATTTAGTCTCCTGAAAGCCAGGGAAAACAACTTTTCAAGGAGGGAATGACTGATGGTATCAAGTGCTTCAGTAAAAGCATATGAAGGCCAAAAACAAACAATGAATTCAGTGACCTTTAAAGCAGTTTCAGACTAGTAATAAAGTTAGAAACTAGATTACAAGAGATTTTGGATGAAAGGGGTGATAAATAAATAGAGGTAACAGGTGTAGACAATTCTTCCCAGTAATTTTTCAGTGAAGAAAAACAGACAGAATGGAAACTTAAGGAATATTTGAAAGAGAATTGAGCTGTGTATGTATGTGCTTAATTAAGCACGTTGGTGAACTCACTGGAAGGTGCAGACACCAATCAACCAGCTATCCACCAACCCTCCCAATCAGTAAGCCTTAATGCCACAATGACAATTGAGGGGATAGAATCATACAACTGTAAAGCTATGAGGAGCCTTAGAAATCATCTAATCCACTGGTCACACTATATAAAAAGCAAAGGTGCCCATAGTCACACACACAGCTCAGTAGTATTAAAATCTAGACTAAGAACTCAGATCTTCTGCATCCCAGTCCATTAGACATTCTACCTCATTCAACTGCCTCCTAAGATACAGACGAGAGAAGAGGTGAAGAAAGCTTCTTCTACTGAGCTTCATTAATCTAGCAAGAAAAAGAAAATGTCTGTTTACATACACAAAACTTCGATCTTTTAGAAATAAACATAGTTCTTTACTTCTCTCCTTTAAAATTTAGAAAAACAGAGAACTAAGCACTGAGTGTCTATTATTTCGTAATAAACATTACACTAAAAGACCTTAAATATTACCTAATTAAATCTCTAATATAACCTCAGAAGTGTGCTTTTTCCCTCCCTATTTCACAGTTTAGAAATTTATGCATCAGGTCAGTAAGGTCACAGAGCTAGTGACATTCTTACTCGGTTCTACACTACAATTAGGAAATGGAGGAGAAAGTGGGAGAAAAGAGATGAATAGGTTAGGGAATGGAAATGAGATGTTTAACAAAGTATAAAAGTAACAAGAACAAATTCATTTACTGATGCTGACCTTAAAAACAAAATCAAACAAAACCAACATTTTAGATAAATAGTAGTTAATCAAATAAAATGTTTCAAGAAGTTCTAACATTGATTGCCTTTGGAGAGGGGTACTGGGTGGCTGGAGACAGGGGTAAGTTTTGGATTGTAAACTTTAAATGTTTTCCTTCCTATCAATAGCTGGTAATTACTAGCATTCTACAATCCCCTACGAGGCTGCAGAAAAACTGAAATTTCAGCAAAGAAAAATCCTAACTCTGTTATGAAAAGGCAAGCGAGAAATTATGTTAAGGGACAGAAGACTTGCTTTTGGGGGTCAGAGATCAGGGAGAGAAGCCGATTTGCCTGCAACAATCACTATTTGATCAACTCAATTCTATTGCTATTATTTTTAGCTCATCTTTTTAGTTTGTTGCTAAGGAACCCTATCACCTGAAAGCAATTTACTAATAGGACTCTACATGAAGCAAGAAAAAGCAACGATCCTGAAACTTTCAAATTAGGCCATTCTAATTCAATCAGTCTATTTTGGTGCCACTTAATAAATTATCTCTTTTCAATCTTTATGTAGGGCTACCATGATGTTGAAAACTCTGTTATACCCCAAAGCAAAATGATCATTTGTCAATTTTTAATATGAGGGACTGCAGCCAGTATACCCGAAACGGGAAGCTATAGTTCTGAATTTTGGTTCTCTATTAATACTTGTCTTTTCTCCTTGAAAATACTATGAATTCCACGGTTCCTTGCAAGAGAAATTTTTTGTATTTTAAGAGGTCTGGTGCAAAGCATGGGGAAAGAACTTGACAAAGCTATTAGATATATGAAAGCTATGAATTGAAACTTCAACTTGGGAAGGAGGCGAGTAGAGGGCTGAGACAGCTAGTGCAAAACAAGCATGGGGGTGCGCGATCAGAGCGCTGGGGTGGCTGGGGCGTCAGGGGGAATCCAGGAAAGGACACAGATACGAATAGGAAAGCTGCAAGCAGTGGGAACTCTGGGGCTTCGCATTTCCACTCTTATCAGTTCCAGAACCTCCTAACACAGACGTCATCGACTTCATAATTGGTGTAGACAGAGAGCCGCAGGGACCCCGTTCAGGTCGTTTGGACTGGAGCCAACCTAGATATGCCCGTTTCCACCCAGTCCGGTGTCTGCCATCCGCTGTTGCCCCCCATAACCTCCAGTTCGTGAGCCCTAAACTCTGGCCACGGTAGAGATAAGATCGGTGAGACAGCAGGCCATCTTCGGCTGTGGGCTCTTTCCTCACACATCCTTAAAAGTCCTTCCCCTCCGTCGGGCTCCGGACACGCGACGGTAACAGACCTAACACGTAACAGGCGCGGGTTCTAGGCAGCGCCAACGTGGCGGTGAGGAGAACACCGGGGTCCGAAACCCACCCACAGAGCCGGCCCTCGGCCCCGCCTCGCGCCGCCAGCCAATAGCCTTCGCAGCTCTCGCGCACTCCCGCCCATCCCCGGGCCGCCCGGACTCTGCCTCGGCTCGGGCCGCCGGCGCCCCGCCGCGCCAGACACGAGGGCCCTGTGTCCTTTCCCGAAGGCGGAGCGAACGACACCGGCTACCAGGGCGGTCCAAGACCCCGAAGTTAGTCTCGCCAACAGCAGCGGGGCGAAAAGAAGGGGAAAAGGCTGCTCTGGGCTCCCCGCGCACGCTCAGTCTCCCTTGACCCGGAAGTGGTTCTCCCCGCCTCCCCCGCTACCGTAGAGCAGGGAGGCGAAGGCGGCCAGGTCTGTCCCGGCATGCCCCGGGCTTCCGGTGACCTCTGGCCCTTTTCTGTCGTCCGCTCCCGCTGCCTGGCGTGCTCGCCCCCTGTCTTCCCTCTTCCCGTGCTCCCTCGCTCGCTGCCTGGTGACTGTGGCGCCCGCGACCAGCAGGCAGACAGTGGCGGAGGACACTCGTCATGGCCGCCTCTAAGCCAGTGGAGGCAGCGGTGGCCGCGGCGGCTGCGCCCGGCTCCGGGAGCGGGG